GATGCTTATTTGGGGAGACGCAGAGAAAACGACAAAAACGCTGAGTCACTACACACGCGGTTGACAACGGTCCTGTAACCTATCGCTTCTCCACAGGTGCAGCCACATACGGTGACTGGAATGAATGAAACTGGGGTTTTCATCACTTCTAGAGTATATTGAAGTGTTACTTCTCACGGCAAAGTTAGTGAAAATAACGCATAGGGAAGTCACTAGCAGTGGAATGATCACAAACGGTTGAGCTTTATGAAGCTGGAAGTCAGTAATAGTTGGATTCCGCAAGGTTATTGAAGGGATCTCACTTCTAATGAAATGGGTGTCAAGGCGATGAGCTTTCGAGGTGCTCCTAAAAATACTCATATCTAGATTAAGTATGGATGTGCCAAACTGTCATCGATATCTTAACAAAAATCATGCTTGCTAGAAGAGATGGTTGTTTCCACCCCTTCTTTTTCTTTCTTTCCGCCACTAACTTTTGAGAACTTGACATTTCACAATCTACTCCATTTACTCTAATTGATAACATGCTCAACTTTCCGGCTTTTGATCATTTTCTAATTCAAGGCGACCTAGTATTCTTGAATTGCATCGCTCTCCTCATGGGGTTGAGCAGCTCCACAATATGCAGTGTCCAAATGCGACTGTCGATAAGTTTCGGCATGCTTCTTTCAGTTTTTAGGTTTATTTTTTTAAGCTGTTGAACCGAGAGTGTAGAAAACTTTATTAGGCTGACATTTTGGTGCCTCCACCTTCCTCGGAGCCTGGAACGACAAGAGGTATTCGAGAAACCATTCGATCAAGTACTAATTCAATCTACAGAAGTTCAAAGGGCGTGGACTAGGAAGCTGGAAGTTGTTAAAGGCACGGTTGGCGATAAAAAAGGTTACCGAGTTCTTTCTTTAGGAATACTCAGCGCCTTCATGGGTGGCAGAAGGGACCTTCTCGCTCCCACAATCTCGTCGCTTAGGACATAGTGGAAGCCCTGTTGCTCCCGTAACTGGCTTTTACTCCCCTCGATCGATGTCACGTTAGACGAGCGTCAAGACAATACAGTTTGCAATTATTCGTTCTAAGACCCACACACAATCAGCTGATCACCAAGTTATGAAGCGATGATTTCCTTCTATTCTTTTGTTCGTTATACTTTTTGCTTTTGCGATCCCTTATTTAGTTTCCTACTCCTGAAAAAGGTTAGCTACTTTTGCTGTTACTGGGGTTTTTTTTGTTCACTTATGCTTATAAGTGAATGAATTTTTGCTTACCGTAGTCTGCTATTCGCTCCAAGACCCGCACGCACGCAGTGAAACATATTGTATAGCTCGTCCGAACGCTCCACTCTTCTTCATTTTGCTGGTCTCATTCTCGTCCAGCCCCCTTTTTAACGGTTTAGNAGCCTTTTTCATTTCAGAAACACCGATTCACGCAGTTTCTTTGCCTTCATCGCACTATTTTCGATCTTGCCTTCCATTTTTCGTAATAATCTGGATTACCCAAAGCTATCGTGAACTGTGCCTTTAACTAACCTTTGGAACAGTCGACCTTTGGGGTCCACCGATCACCCTAAGCTGGTATGACTGCGGTTTAAATAGGGCGAGCCTTAGGTCAACTTGCTTCAGTTGCCTCCAATGGGCTGATCACGTATGTCAATCCTCCTCTCAAGCCACACAAGGCCGAGAGCGCTGCTTACCCGTTCCCAATCAACCCCTATCGATCCCTCTATAAGCCTCCTGACCCCGCCCTGCCGCGAGGACCTCTCGGGAATAGGTCAAAAGCCGCCTAGTGCTGCAAAGGGCGCCATCTCTGTGGTAACCGTCATGTACTCTTCCCTCCGGATAATTTTAGGGGCCTTAGCCGATCGAAAGGCCTCTAAGGCTTGCAGCGCCGCAATGTCCGATTCGCGTGTTAACACGTTGACGACGAGAGCGTTCTTCGTTTACACGCCCGCGGGATGAGACCGTTTGAAAGCGCTGACTAGCGTTGTCAGTCATCATCCCACAGAACAGACACCATATTTAGTATACTGTATTCATAAGCATAAGCTATTATTTGTACTGAAACAAGTAAAAACTTCTGGAAACAAAAGAAAAACTTGTATTCTGTTAAGATTTGGGTGAGTATTCCAAAATTATGGGGCTTTGTAGACCATTTCGGTGTATGAAGCTTTGAATAGTGAACATTTATAGAAGGCAATATTTAAACGTTTGGCAGGAAAAGATTATAGGTAAGGCGCCAATTGTTGGAAGGAGTTCAAATTTTAATTGTTGTCAGATATGATGTATGACTCCTCACTCGATACTTAATATTTCCATAAAAACCTTAGACTTCGAAGGATCATGTGTCGACGCTGAAGTTAGTGAGTAAATAAATACTGAAGACACGATATTAAGTATACAACATCGGATGTCATGCAATCTCCTTCCTTACCATATGGGCATATGACATACGAAGGCGTTGTGCACAGCCGGTCGCACAGCTGATTTCGGACAAATCGCTGTTTAAGGTTCGTGGGTGGGATATTAACAACTCTCACCATATCCTGAAGACCTGCCTTCCTCACACATAATCGTATGACCGCACTTAATTCGTCTGTGTAATAGAGTTTGTTACATCTCGTTTCTACAGCTTTAAAAAGTAAACCTCAAACAATATGCAGTCTCTGGAGAGGTGCAAAAAATGATGGATATCAAGGGCCAAAATCACCTCTCAAAGAAGCTTGGGAAACGAACATCCTGTGGAAGCTTGAGTAAGGTTTGCAAATAAGTATTCGCAGCGTCCTTTCCACAAAGGCCTCAAGGTAGAAGTCGTACAGCATAGTTCTCTCACAATGTCAAGGTCCTTTGGAAAGATTTTACCTTCTTTCTTAGACATATAGCTGGTGACACTATCAGTATTTCGTATTCGCAGCATTTCTAAGCTTCATGTAGAGAAATCATTTTCCAAATTTTCAAATCATGGACGGTTCGGATAGGTTCTGTGGCATCTGATAAGAAATTACATTGTGGCGTGGTTAGTTGAGTGCTAACTATCAGTACGTTATACGCTAACGCGTGCGTCACATGTCCGCAATATGCTTGTCTACGATTTACCTTAAGAAGGGTACGGGTGTGTCATATATATGGTAAGTCATCGTCCCACGCTTTTCCAACGATTTCTTAAAAGCAGCAACAGTGTTGTATTTAGAGGATCAGGTTCCCCAGTGGTATTAGGAATTCGTCGGTCAGTTGGAATCTGGGATAAAATCGCGAACACTTCCTTAGCCTCAATCTTGATCTTTTTTCATTTGTAGGCACGTGCGCCGTAGTTTTCGAGTCGTGTCCCCGGAATAATCTTGGACTCTTGGCGGCACCTTCTCAGAAGTGCCCCTCATGAAGATATAATGACTAACCTTTGAAATTTTCTTGACTAAAATAAGCAATATCGCTTTGAAGCCATGGATTCTGAAATTATCATGTAAGAGGAAGGATGATTACGAGAACTCTAAATCTGACCATTTCTTTCATGCTGAACACCTCTCCTCAGAAAAAGTGTGTCGAAGCGCGCGCGGCCTGCAAGTAGGGGCTGTGTGGCGATTTGTGCGACAGGTGCGCGCGGCAAATTGCGCGGCGAGACTCTGGCGCCTATCATTGGGGCACGAACTTGAAGTAGAGTACTTGAGTAGAGTCGGTCAATCTTACTAGCCTACTTTACTTCGAATTTGGTCTCCAATGGTAAACGCTGCAGTCGTCCAAATCGCACCGGATTTCGCCGCGCAGTTGGGCGCGCGCACCCAAAATCGCGCGACTCGAACGTCCCCCGCAAGTAGGGCATGGCGTTTGTTGTTTCTCTCGAACTTCTTTTCCAAAATTTTACGTGCTAGCGGTTCAGTGGTTTTCTTTTTATATACTCCATTTGCTTCGGAGCAGAATAAAACAAATTAATAATGAGCGCGGACGTTACCGCTAGTAAAACACAGAAGAATAGTAAATAAGTCTATATCTGAGCCCAGAAGCTAGGTCTCGCCCTTGACGTTGTCAGAGGTAATGGGGACCACACTTTTTGGTGGTTCCGCTTGACCCCGTATCATTTAGGGGCGTGGGATAAGTTAGGGGTCTTCTCAGACAGTGAGACGACGAAATAGTTAGGGGGATCGTCGCCATAGATGACGATACTCCGCCGGCAACGGAGTGTACGGAGTATATGGGAGCTCAAGTAGGCATATATACATGCAAATATGACAAGTTATATTTACAAATGACAGCTCGACAGGTGTTTTCTTCTTGTTGTTGAACGACTGAAGACGTATGGCAGTGGCTATAAGGTTCCATGGACCTCTGGCGGTTTCTATTCTTCGGATCGATGGCTTCATCATTATGAAACAAAGAGATTAGTATTAAAAGGAGGAAATTATCACAAGTTCGGGGAAGATGAATGCGTGAATTGCTTCTCTTTGGTAATCTGTTCACCTGTTAATCTTTCCAACGCTTACCTGGTGGCCATTGATGATCAAGTTGATGGGATTTGCTGCGGTTACAACGCGTTTGTAACAGCCCGCACACCACACGGGTCCTCCAATTCGGCTGGCTTATAAACGCCCAACCTAATATCGAGTCACATGGTATTGCCCTATATTCGGGGCGAATCCCTCATTGGATTGCGGTTTGGATCGGTTTGGACAGAGAAGATGTAGCTGTCTCAATCAATGATCATATTTAATTTTTTGATTTCTCAGTCATATTATTTACATATATGTATGTATATGTATATATAGCGTATGTATAGGTAATGTTTATAGGTTTGAAGCATCTCTGAACAAATAGTAATTGTAAGCAATTAGTTGGAGTGGATGATGAACTAAGTCCGTTTTAGTAACCCGCCGTTTTTGAGTATGTAATTTATAGTAGAGCAATGCAGCAACCGACCGAAGTAAACCATGCCAAAGTCTCAAAGATAACCCACTTCGAGGCCGCAGCCCTGCAGAGGCGGGTGTGTACACCATCGCACTCAATCTCTTTAATCTAATTACGAACCTAAGGAGCTGGCTCGGGGGTACCGCAGAAATAACCAGCCGGTTTTTTTCGATATTCAAACTGCTTTATCAGTTGCTGTGGACTCCATGTGTAGCCAAAATGTGGACAGCTGGGGTTAAACAGCTTTTGAACAGTTTTTCACCACACAACATTGTAAATCCCTGCCACGTAGGCTAAGCTTGACAGATTAGCAATAGTAAGTAACATAGAGCATAACTTTTTGCCTTTGTTTTTCGAATGATAAATCATAAATATGATCATTAATAAGATATGGGCACGTGAGGACGCCTTGTTGTTACTGTCTTGCTTGCTTGCTGCCCCGTTGAGCTTTGTCAATACTGTAAGGGATAAAATGGGTACAATTTCCCACATCTGTAAGCTTAAAGACACTGTTAACGAATAAATGGTTTCGAAGATATGCATATGGTTAGAATTCTAAGCCCCCTCTGATAACATTTGTGCAGGAATTAGGTCGGAAAACGGCTGGATAGGGCACAATAAGGCCAGGAACAGCGGGGGACGGGAGGCCTCCGCCCCTCGCTAGGCTGACTACGAGTTCAAGTTGTCCTTCACCACATTCGCACTGGAGCGAAGTTGGTGAAAAATCGATACGTTGATTGGCAAATTGCCAGGAATCCTCAGCTGGTGGAACGCCTCGTACAGGAGCTAGTACT